CCCTGCCCACCCTGACACCTGCACCCCCCACACACCCCCAGCCCCCTTCCATGACCCCTGCACCCCCCACACCCCTCCAGCCCCCTGCCATGACCCCTGCACCCCCCACACACATCCCATCCCCCTGCCCACCCTGACTCTTGCACCCCCTCACACCTCCCCTGCCCTGACTCCTGCACTCCCCCAGCCCCCTGTACCCCAACAGCCCCCCCAGCCCTGACTCCTGACCCCCCCCCCACATCCCCACCCCCATCCTGAGTACCAAACAGGAGCTCTTGCAACCCGCCCCATTCCCACCTGCACCCCTTGCACCAAACAGAACCTGCCCCAGGTAAGCACTCCACACCCCAACCTCCTGCCCCAACCCTGAGCTCCCTCCCTCACCCTAGCTCCTGTCCAGACCCTGCACTCCAACTTTTTTTACAATATTTGGAAAGATCATTAAGTGGTTCGTCGAGACACTCCGCGATTTTCAAGTGGTCTGTGGAAAAATAAGTTAGTATACAAGAACAATCAAGGTACCTCACTTTATTTTCATTTACTTGCTATTACTTATAGGAGGAGGATGAAGAAAAAAAAATGAAAAATGGGAGTGGGGAAAGATAAGAGAGAATGTTCTTTTTCTTGGCTGGGTCCCAAGGAGGGGCCCCCAAAATGAGGCTGAGCACAGGGCTGGGGGCCCCCACTAACTCTAAATCCACCACTGGCTGTCATGTCACCTGGGCTGGGGATACTGTGCCAGCTGATCCCCACAGTCTTCAACCTACCTGGGCAGTACAGCAGACATGGCCCTGCCCATTAGCTCCCTTCCACTCCCTAGCCCACCACCCCCCTTGCTTCCCACCATTTAAGGCAGTGGTTCTCAAACTGGGGGTCAGGACCCCTCAGGGGGTCACGAGGTTATTACACGGGGGGTCGCAAGCTGTCAACCTCCACCCCAAACTCCGCTTTGTCTCCAGCACCTATAATGGTGTTAAATATATAAAAAAGTGTTTTAAACTTATAAGGGGGGTTGCACTCAGAGGCTTGCTATGTGAAAGGGGTCACCAGTACAGAAGTTTGAGAACCACTGGCTTAAGGCTTAGCCCTCTCACTTTTAAAAATGATTGCTTGCCCCTCCTCCGGCTTTTCTGGCAGCCCTGTTGCCAGGTATCCAGTTTTAGACTGGAAACTCCAGTAGAAAATGGGACCTGGGTGTCCAGTTAGCAGTGCTGACTGGAAAATAAAAGTCCAATTATAGGAATAATCACATTCATCTCTGCTCCTCCAACACCCACCCCAGAAGGCTGGAAGAGAACCTGTCCTGCTGCTGCTGGATGTCACAGAGTATCATGGAGTGTGAGCGACTCAGTGTCCTGCACACACCCCCCCCCCCCACTTCCTGTGACTCTCAGCCAGCCAGTAAAACAGAAGGTTTATTAGACGACAAGAACACAGTCAAATCGGAGCTTGTAGGTATGGAAAACAGGACTTCTCAGTCAGGTCCGTCTTGTGGGGTAGGGAGCCCAGACACCAGTGCTGGACCTCCCTCTGTTTCCCCAGCCAGCTCCAAACTGCAACCCCCTCCAGCTCCTCCTCTGTCCTTTGTCTCTTTCCCGGGCCAGGAGGCCACCTGATCTCTTTGTTCTCCAACACCTTCAGTTGGCACCTTGCAGGGGAGGGGGCCAGGCCATCAGTTGCCAGGAGACAGGGTGTCGACCATTCTCTGTGCAGACAGCATCACACCTGCCTAGGGCTCTGCAACAATCACACACCCTTATCCCACCACCTACCCGTGGGACACTCCTACCCGGCCCCTGAGCTCCTAGCCCAGGAGGCTAGCCCCAGATCCCCCCCCTGCTATCCCCTCTCCCCCACAACCTCAGCTCACTGTGCCACCGGTGCAATGCTCTGGGTGGTTGGGTAGCGAGCTCTTGCCGAGCAGCACAGCTGCAGAGCCGTGGCCTAACCTGGTGCTCTGTGCTGTGCGGTGGTGTCAAGGTTCCTCCCCCACTCTGAACTCTAGGGTACAGATGTGGGGACCTGCATGAAAAACCTCCTAAGCTTATCTTTACCAGCTTAGGTCAAAACTTCCCCAAGGTACAAAATATTCCACCCGTCGTCCTTGGATTGGCCGCTACCACCACCAAACTAATACTGGTTACTGGGGAAGAGCTGTTTGGACGCGTCTTTCCCCCCAAAATACTTCCCAAAACCTTGCACCCCACTTCCTGGACAAGGTTTGGTAAAAAGCCTCACCGATTTGCCTAGGTGACTACAGACCCAGACCCTCGGATCTTAAGAACAATGAACAATCCTCCCAACACTTGCACCCCCCCTTTCCTGGGAAATGTTGGATAAAAAGCCTCACCAATTTGCATAGGTGATCACAGACCCAAACCCTTGGATCTGAGAACAATGAAAAAGCATTCAGTTTCTTACAAGAAGACTTTTAATAAAAATAGAAGTAAATAGAAATAAAGAAATCCCCCCTGTGAAATCAGGATGGTAGATATCTTACAGGGTAATTACATTCAAAAACATAGAGAACCCCTCTAGGCAAAACCTTAAGTTACAAAAAAGATACACAGACAGAAATAGTTATTCTATTCAGCACAATTCTTTTCTCCGCCATTTAAAGAAATCATAATCTAACACATACCTAGCTAGATTACTTACTAAAAGTTCTAAGACTCCATTCCTGGTCTATCCCCGGCAGAAACCAGCATATATAGACAAACACACAGACCCTTTGTTTCTCTCCCTCCTCCCAGCTTTTGAAAGTATCTTGTCTCCTCATTGGTCATTTTGGTCAGGTGCCAGCGAGGTTACCTTTAGCTTCTTAACCCTTTACAGGTGAGAGGAGCTTTCCCCTGGCCAGGAGGGATTTCAAAGGGGTTTACCCTTCCCTTTATATTTATGACAGGTGGCGTGGCTGGCTCCAGCCAGCGGCACGGCTGCCTGTTCTGGTGCTCTGGGCGGCACGGCCGTAGCGCCACCAGCCACCGGTACTCCAGGCAGCACAGTAAGAGGACAGGGAGCAGGGGGGGTTAGATAGAGGGCAGGGGAGTTCGGGGTGGCGGTCAGGGGGTGAGGAGGTGGATAGGGGTCAGGGTGGTCAGAGGGCGGGGAACAGGGGGGTTAAATGGGGGCAGGGGTCCTGGGGTGGTAGTCAGAAAGGAGAGGGGGGCGTTGGATTGGGTGGTGGGGGGCAACCAGAGGCAGGGGTTCCGGGGGCAGTCAGGGAGAAGGGGTGGTTGGATGGGGTTGGGGTGGAGGCAGGGGCGACAGGGGGGTTGGATGGGATAGGCGTCCCTGGGGGGGGGCCGTCTGGGGGTGAGAAATGGGGGGTTGGATTGGGGGTGGGGGCCAGGCCATGCCTGGCTGTTTGGGGAGGCACAGCCTCCCCTAACAGCCCTCCATATAGTTTTGGAAACCCGATGTGGCACTCAGGCCAAAAAGTTTACCCGCCCCTGACCTACGTACTTCAGAAATGCATAGGGGAAACTGAGGCACCCACACAGTATTCAGAGAAAACATTAAGAACATTCCCACTTTGTCACGCTGCAGGAGGCGCAGCTCAGTGCACAGAGAGAGGAAGAGACTAGGCTAGAACCAGGGAGACGATAGGGACCCGCTCTATGTGGGCAGGAGTGTGTGTGTGGGGGGAATCCTGTTTACCCCCATCCCCAGCCCTGCTGCACTTGCAGTTTACCCCTGGCTGGCCCCTCCCTTGCTCCAGGGACCAACCCTAGCTCCCGCCCCCTTGTGCGTTTGCCCCCAGCCCCTTTTCATAGAATCATAGAATATCAGGGTTGGAAGGGACCCCTGAAGGTCATCTAGTCCAACCCCCTGCTCGAAGCAGGACCAATTCCCAGTTAAATCATCCCAGCCAGGGCTTTGTCAAGCCTGACCTTAAAAACCTCTAAGGAAGGAGATTCTACCACCTCCCTAGGTAACGCATTCCAGTGTTTCACCACCCTCTTAGTGAAAAAGTTTTTCCTAATATCCAATCTAAACCTCCCCCACTGCAACTTGAGACCATTACTCCTCGTTCTGTCATCTGCTACCATTGAGAACAGTCTAGAGCCATCCTCTTTGGAACCCCCTTTCAGGTAGTTGAAAGCAGCTATCAAATCCCCCCTCATTCTTCTCTTCTGCAGGCTAAACAATCCCAGCTCCCTCAGCCTCTCCTCATAAGTCATATGTTCTAGACCCCTAATCATTTTTGTTGCCCTTTGCTGGACTCTCTCCAATTTATCCACATCCTTCTTGTAGTGTGGGGCCCAAAACTGGACACAGTACTCCAGATGAGGCCTCACCAATGTTGAATAGAGGGGGACGATCACGTCCCTCGATCTGCTCGCTATGCCCCTACTTATACATCCCAAAATGCCATTGGCCTTCTTGGCAACAAGGGCACACTGCTGACTCATATCCAGCTTCTCGTCCACTGTCACCCCTAGGTCCTTTTCCGCAGAACTGCTGCCTAGCCATTCGGTCCCTAGTCTGTAGCTGTGCATTGGGTTCTTCCGTCCTAAGTGCAGGACCCTGCACTTATCCTTATTGAACCTCATCAGATTTCTTTTGGCCCAATCCTCCAATTTGTCTAGGTCCCTCTGTATCCTATCCCTGCCCTCCAGCATATCTACCACTCCTCCCAGTTTAGTATCATCCACAAATTTGCTGAGAGTGCAATCCACACCATCCTCCAGATCATTTATGAAGATATTGAACAAAACCGGCCCCAGGACCGACCCTTGGGGCACTCATTTTACAATCATTCCCCGGCGAGAGGGGGGCCACAAAAAGCGAACCTGGCCCTGTCAGCGGCAGCAGCCCCATCTGGAGCGCCCGCAGTAGAGCGCCCCGCCCAGCCCAGCCCACATGACCGTTATTCTCCGCCCACGCCACCTAACCAACAGTCAAGCGCCCCCGCGCTCTGGCCACAGCCTTTAGATCCTCCCCTTCCTACGCGGGCAGAACGTACGGGGATCATTTCGTAGCCCCGCCCACCACGCTCTCCCCTCCCCACCCTGCTACTCAGCGTGACCGCTCAGGTCCCGCAGCGGCTTCTTCCCGCTAGGAGCCCCGCCCCTTCCTCGATTGCGCGCGCCGGGACTCGCGTGTGGCTGGTGTCAGCGCGCGACGCAGGCCGCTCCGCCCTGCGGACGGGTACGGTGACTTCTCTTCTCAGGCAGGGGCGGAGGGCTTGGGCGCGGCCTGCTCGGCTGCCGGTCCCGGCCGTTGTGTCTGTTCGGGGCCCCTCCCCTCCCTGTGCCCGGGCTGGGCGGGGCCAGGCCCCGTGGTTAGTGCCGCGCTCGGCCTCCGCCAGCCCTCCCCTGCCTCGCTCTGCCAGCCGGGACCCCGCGCCCCTTGGCTTAGCCCTGCCCGGCCACTGCCACCATGTGTCCGTCCTAAGGCTGCCTGCGATGGGCCCGGACTGGCCCTGCGCTTTGCCAGCGATGAGTCCTGGGTCTTCAGCCTGGCTGTGCCCCCTGCTCCGGAACAGGCCCTGCCACGCTGACCCCTGCCCGAGGCCCATCAGTGATGGGTCCACTCGCCACCCCTACACCGTGCACTGGCTGTCTCAGCTGCCCAAACCCACCTACTCCTCCCAGTGCCGAACTCCTATCCCCCCCCGCACCTTCCCGCTGCCCAACCCACCCAGCTCCCTCCCCCCCGCACCTTCCCGCTGCCCATCCCACCCAGCTCCCTCCCCCCCGCACCTTCCCGCTGCCCATCCGACCCAGCTCCCTCCCCCCCGCACCTTCCCGCTGCCCATCCCACCCAGCTCCCTCCCCCCGCACCTTCCCGCTGCCCATCCCACCCAGCTCCCTCCCCCCGCACCTTCCCGCTGCCCAACCCCCCCAGCTCCCTCCCCCCCGCACCTTCCCGCTGCCCAACCCCCCCAGCTCCCTCCCCCCCGCACCTTCCCGCTGCCCAACCCCCCCCAGCTCCCCCCCCCGCACCTTCCCGCTGCCCAACCCCCCCCAGCTCCCTCCCCCCCGCACCTTCCCGCTGCCCAACCCCCCCCAGCTCCCTCCCCCCCGCACCTTCCCGCTGCCCAACCCCCCCAGCTCCCTCCCCCCCGCACCTTCCCGCTGCCCATCCCACCCAGCTCCCTCCCCCCCGCACCTTCCCGCTGCCCATCCCACCCAGCTCCCTCCCCCCCGCACCTTCCCGCTGCCCATCCCACCCAGCTCCCTCCCCCCCGCACCTTCCCGCTGCCCATCCCACCCAGCTCCCTCCCCCCCGCACCTTCCCGCTGCCCATCCCACCCAGCTCCCTCCCCCCCGCACCTTCCCGCTGCCCATCCCACCCAGCTCCCTCCCCCCCGCACCTTCCCGCTGCCCATCCCACCCAGCTCCCCCCCCCCGCACCTTCCCGCTGCCCAACCCACCCAGCTCCCTCCCCCCCGCACCTTCCCGCTGCCCAACCCACCCAGCTCCCTCCCCCCGCACCTTCCCGCTGCCCATCCCACCCAGCTCCCTCCCCCCCGCACCTTCCCGCTGCCCATCCCACCCAGCTCCCTCCCCCCCGCACCTTCCCGCTGCCCAACCCACCCAGCTCCCTCCCCCCCGCACCTTCCCGCTGCCCATCCCACCCAGCTCCCTCCCCCCCGCACCTTCCCGCTGCCCATCCCACCCAGCTCCCTCCCCCCCCGCACCTTCCCGCTGCCCATCCCACCCAGCTCCCTCCCCCCCGCACCTTCCCGCTGCCCATCCCACCCAGCTCCCTCCCCCCCGCACCTTCCCGCTGCCCATCCCACCCAGCTCCCTCCCCCCCGCACCTTCCCGCTGCCCATCCCACCCAGCTCCCTCCCCCCCGCACCTTCCCGCTGCCCATCCCACCCAGCTCCCTCCCCCCCGCACCTTCCCGCTGCCCATCCCACCCAGCTCCCTCCCCCCCGCACCTTCCCGCTGCCCATCCCACCCAGCTCCCTCCCCCCGCACCTTCCCGCTGCCCATCCCACCCAGCTCCCTCCCCCCGCACCTTCCCGCTGCCCATCCCACCCAGCTCCCTCCCCCCCCGCACCTTCCCGCTGCCCATCCCACCCAGCTCCCTCCCCCCCCGCACCTTCCCGCTGCCCATCCCACCCAGCTCCCTCCCCCCCGCACCTTCCCGCTGCCCATCCCACCCAGCTCCCTCCCCCCCGCACCTTCCCGCTGCCCATCCCACCCAGCTCCCTCCCCCCCGCACCTTCCCGCTGCCCATCCCACCCAGCTCCCTCCCCCTCGCACCTTCCCGCTGCCCATCCCACCCAGCTCCCCCCCCCGCACCTTCCCGCTGCCCATCCCACCCAGCTCCCTCCCCCCCGCACCTTCCCGCTGCCCATCCCACCCAGCTCCCTCCCCCCCGCACCTTCCCGCTGCCCATCCCACCCAGCTCCCTCCCCCCCGCACCTTCCCGCTGCCCATCCCACCCAGCTCCCTCCCCCCGCACCTTCCCGCTGCCCATCCCACCCAGCTCCCTCCCCCCGCACCTTCCCGCTGCCCATCCCACCCAGCTCCCTCCCCCCGCACCTTCCCGCTGCCCATCCCACCCAGCTCCCTCCCCCCCCGCACCTTCCCGCTGCCCATCCCACCCAGCTCCCTCCCCCCCGCACCTTCCCGCTGCCCATCCCACCCAGCTCCCTCCCCCCCGCACCTTCCCGCTGCCCATCCCACCCAGCTCCCTCCCCCTCGCACCTTCCCGCTGCCCATCCCACCCAGCTCCCTCCCCCCCGCACCTTCCCGCTGCCCATCCCACCCAGCTCCCTCCCCCCCGCACCTTCCCGCTGCCCATCCCACCCAGCTCCCTCCCCCCCGCACCTTCCCGCTGCCCATCCCACCCAGCTCCCTCCCCCCCGCACCTTCCCGCTGCCCATCCCACCCAGCTCCCTCCCCCCGCACCTTCCCGCTGCCCATCCCACCCAGCTCCCTCCCCCCCGCACCTTCCCGCTGCCCATCCCACCCAGCTCCCTCCCCCCCGCACCTTCCCGCTGCCCATCCCACCCAGCTCCCTCCCCCCGCACCTTCCCGCTGCCCATCCCACCCAGCTCCCTCCCCCCCGCACCTTCCCGCTGCCCAACCCACCCAGCTCCCTCCCCCCCGCACCTTCCCGCTGCCCAACCCACCCAGCTCCCTCCCCCCCGCACCTTCCCGCTGCCCAACCCACCCAGCTCCCTCCCCCCCGCACCTTCCCGCTGCCCAACCCACCCAGCTCCCCCCCCCCCGCACACCTTCTGGCTGCTGGACTAGGGTTGCCAACTCTGTTTGGATGAATTCCTGGAGACTTTATCATGTGACATAATCAAACATTAATCTTTAATTCCTGGAGATTTGGCAATCCTGCCTGCCCCTCCCAGTGCTGAACTCCTACCCTGGCCCCCGGATCATAGAATATCAGGATTGGAAGGGATCTCAGGAGGTCATCTAGTCCAACCCCCTGCTCAAAGCAGGACCAATCCCCAATTTTTGCCCCAGATCCCTAAATGGCCCCCTCAAAGATTGAACTCACAACCCTGGGTTTAGCAGGTCAATGCGCAAATGACTGAGCTATCCCTCCCCCCTCCAGCTTACAAACCCATCTTCTCCCTGCCCCGTCAAAGTGTTGAACACCTACTCCTCCCGTTCTTTCCAGCCACCAAAACCATCTGCTCCTCCCAGTACTGAACTTCTGCTCCCCCAGGCTCTTTCCAGCTGCCCACCACCCTACTGCTGAACATCTTCCCCCACCGTGGCTGCTTCCAGTCACCAAACACATCTGTACTTCCCAGTGCTGAGCACGTACCTACCCACCTAAGTTCTTTCCATCCGCCAAATCCATCTGTACCTACCATTGCTGAACCCCTACCTACCGAAGCTCTATCTGCCTGCTGTATTTACCCACACGTACCCGTGCTCATCTCAGTAACCCCATCTTTTTTTCTCAGGGAAAGCTAATTCTTGCATTACCAATATAGGACATAGTCAAACCTAATGTGCTTTCTTCTCCTGATGTGATGCATCACCTTAGCAGGCATGTGTACGTTCCATACTGTTAATGAAAGTAGATCACCCTTCCGTAACAGATTCCATGGAGAACTAAGATATGGCAAAATGCACATTGTGTTACTAGTGTTCCAGTGAATGCTAGAATTTCATAGATCTTCACACAACAGCCGTGGGCAGTAGCAAAATGGTTAACCTGATTGCTCAGAGTTTGATTTTTTTTTATAGTCCATTGATGCTCAGAGGCCCAAGCTGGACGCACATCATTCAGGGGTACAAACAGCCAGTGAAAGACAGTCTCTGCTCCAAAGAGCTTGTAAACTAAGATGGGACCAGGAGTATGTAACACAACAGAAAGAGGAGACGTTAGGAGGAAGATGAGTTTGACAGTAATAGGGATATAAGATTGTACATATTCTTAGCAATGTGTAGAACTTGGAAGCTTCACATTTTTTAATTGCTGTAAAAAGACTGTAGATCAGTGGTCCCCAAACTTTTAACGTCATGGTCCCCCTTACCTGTAATGGAATCTCTCTGCGTCCCTGCTCAGGGGCCAGGGCCATGGCCGGGAATTGGGCTATGGTCGAGGCCGGAGCTACAGCTGGGGCCATGACCAGAGTCAGGGGACTGTGTCGGGGCTGAGACCGGAGCTGGGGGTGGGGCTGGGTGGCACTCCCTCCCCGTAGCCCAAGCCCTGCCATGCCCCTCCAAACTTTCCTCCGTGTCTCCCTAGGGGGCAAGTCCCACAGTTTGGGGACCACTGCTGTAGATTTTCAAGTATTTGCTTTTTGCTAATTTAATATAAAAAAGGATTTATCCATTGTAGGTGGTTATTTGATTATATATAGGTTTTTTAAAATAGCAAAGTCACTTTTATATATTTGTGTACTTCACTCTATGTGAATTATTATTTCTTATTTAAAGGTCTGTTGGTCTACATGTTGCTGAATGAACAGCTCCCAAGAGCAGTGAGTCTGCCCCTGAGAGCTAACAATCCATGAACTATGCAAATACAGTGCTACTGAGCAACAGGTAAAGATATCCAAAACATTAATTCACAAACTAACTACAAAGGAAAAGCAATGCAATAACTGGAAGAAAAGGTGAGGACATAATTGTGCTAGGCGTTACTTGTTAAAAGAAGTACTGAACCAGATTTGGTGAGGTTTTTTTTGTTTTGTTTTGTTTTAGTGAAAGAGAGGGAGATTTTGTTTTGCAGTGACTGGGAGGATATTCAAAAATGAAGGGTGTTGGTGTATAGGTAGACTTTTAGGTCTTGTTGAGGATAGAATAAAAATTGTTTAACCTAGTGTAGACAGGGCAAGTTGTATTTTAACACATTAGGTGGTTGAGGTAAACATTAGGAAACAAGCTTGGGTTTACCTTGACCAGATAACACATGTTAAAATACAACTTGTGCTATCTATACTTGAGTGTTAAAACATATTTAATATCCACTCTTGCCTTAATGGGAGGAGAGAGTCAACCAATACAGAGGTTTGAAAAGAGGGATGTGATAGAAGTTGTACATTCTGAACAGTTTGACACTACAAATAGTAACCCGCACACTTCTGAATAGTTCTTGTTGTGTTACATTTAGGATTTTAAATAGTTAAGATTGTCATAATATTGAATGTTAAAATAGTTTTTAGGATGTGTGAAACAGCTGTTTTTTTATGTCAAAACACAGTATATGAAATTACACAAATGCTGTCTGAGTTTGAAGTATTTAGTATGAATCTGTTATACACAGTTTTTGATGTCAGTATGTTACGTTTAGATGTTCCTGGAATCTATGTAATTAACGTTAGATGATGCTAATCTGTGGTGGGACTTTAGTATGGAAGGATTTAGTGTCCCCTCTGTGCATCCATGTGTAATGATAATTAACAGATTTCCCCTTTGCCATCTTTTATCTAAGTGTACGTATTAAGGTCCGTTAATCTTTCTTCATAGGTCATGCCCTCCATTCCTTTTGTCATCTGTATATTCCTTGTAATTTATCAGTGTTGGTACGGTTTTTTTTAATAGCGAGCAGAACAAAACCCTGCATAGTACTCCCCAGTGTGGTATTAGCAAGGCTGGTGTAAAGAGGAGTTATTACTTCTCTGGCCTTAAAAAAATTGTTTTTTCCCCCCTATATGTACATATTAGTATATATAGTATTCACTTTTCTTGCAATAGTATCACTCCTCAAGCTAATGTCTAGGAAATATACTGTAGGGAGCAATCCTGCCCTGGCACTGGGATGAACTAGATGACCTCATATCTTTTCAGACTCTAATTTCTGTGATTTGTTGTGTGCTGTCACTCCAGACCCTTCACTTTACTGCTCTCAAAGCAACAATATTGAATTTTTTTTCTTGTGTGTTGTTCTGATGGGTCAGTGACTCATGTTGCACTCATATGACCTATTTTCCCCTTGTACAACAAAAATGATTTGAAGGACTGGTAAACTGACTTTGAAAGATTAAGTGAATGAAATAGATAAATTGGTCACTGATATGGGAGGTTGGTCAGAGGCCAGAAAATGACACTGTATATGTAAACCCCAAAGAAGGGGCTAAAATAGTCCAGAGGAGTGTAACTAAACATAATGATCTTGTCTGGGGTGAAGACTGGATGAAAATTATTATTGTGCATCAGTGACTTATTTTCTCTTGAATGCTCTGTTTTAACCTGTTTGTGATTCATACTTTCTCTATAAAGTTACTGGAGTACATCTATTCTGTTTAAAGGAAACAATAAATTCTACACTGAAATGGCATTCTCTGCAGAGAATTCTGACTTTACTAACTTGCTTATACAGAATGATTTTATAATAAATGTAATGGTTCAAATTACTTAATATTAACACAAACATTTAGAAATTAAAGGATTTTGCATAGAACTTGCATTTCACATACTGTTTGAATAGTAAACATTAGGAGAACCAATAAAATCAATAAATTGTAACATGTTATTACCTCCATCAACCTGAATGGTTATCCAAAAATTTGGGGTCTTGAGGGTTGTTCCAGTAATGAGGAGAAATGGGTGATGAAATGAAGTATTTTTTTGATGCAACTCTGTCTACTTATAAAGAATATGCGAAGACCTTGTTTCCCTGAGTACAGTAGGAATCGAAACTTTGTCTTGTGTTTTTGCTTACAGTTCTAAGCCTCTTTCAGCCAGCACTGAACTGAAAAAGCTTTCTCTCTTGTTTTTTTTCTAAGGGCCATGCTCCCGGTGCTTGTGCAGTGTCCTTGGATTTCTGCTCCTTCTCTGAGTTCTTCTCTGGTGTTTGTCTGTCTTTCACAGACATACAAATCCTCACAAAACAATAACCAGCAAAACCCCTCAGTGCACACACAACTTGCCTGTGCCTTTGTTTTGAGTGGTGACATGTACCTGTGTTTTTCATGGAGGCTGCTATTGTTTGTTATGTTGTTCCATAAAGATGCTTAATGGCTGATTAGGACTGTCTTTCAATGAAGGGCAGTGATTATGCCTAACCTATAACAATATTTTGCAGTAATACAGCATCTCTCATTTAGGGATTTCAGAATACTTTACAAGGGGAATTGACTCTCAAGCATCTTCAGTAGAATCTCCGTTACAAACACCACAGGAATGGAAGTTGTTTGTAACTCTGAACAAAATATTATTGTTGTTCTTTCAAAAGTTTACAACTGAACATTGATTTAATACAGCTTTGAAACATTACTATGCAGAAGAAAAATGCAGCTTTTAACTATCTTAATCTAAGTGAAACAAGCACAGAAACAGTTTCCTTATCTTGTGAAATCTTTTTTAAACTTTCCCTTTATTTTTTTTTTTTAGTAATTTACATTTAATACAGTACTGTACTGTATTTGCCTTTTTTTGTCTCTGCTGCTGCCTGATTGCATACTTCTGGTTCCAAATGAGGTATGTGGTTGACCGATCAGTTCGTAACTCTGGTGTTCGTAACTCTGAGGTTCTACTGTATTCTAATCCAGGAGTCTTGATGTCCGTTTCTTGCTCTAATCACTAAATAACGCTTTATCTCCACAGAAGCATAGACCCTCCCCATTAACAGAGTCTTTCTCTTAAGGTTCTACTCCAAAATTTTAAAACACGTATTTCACTAGTGTTTTCAGGCTTTATAGAGCACATGCTGTACATCGCTGTTATTACTAAATTCTGTATTTTTGCTGTATCCTCTACAATGTTTCCAGTGTCTTTCTAATCTGGTATTATAGGAGAGGGCTACAAAATTGGTTCCAGGTAGGCAACAACTAGTTAGGACAAAGGCAGTTAGGCAGTAGGACAAAGTAAAAACTGACATAGGTAGGAATGGATTTACACAGAATCTTAAAGGTGGGAATGAAACTTACTGTCGAGAGCAAGAGGAAGCTAATTGTAGGAACTGAAGAGAAGAGTGTTGTTTCAAAGTAGTGGATGATGTGAAAGAATTTTGGAGAAAGGAGGGAGAAGGGATGGTTTAGGAGCAACACGTGGAATTCACTTTTTGGTTATTTTTGGTTGATGGGGGGTGTGGGGGGGGGCGGAGCGGATAGCCAAGGTTAGGTATGCAAAGGATAGCAAAAGGTTTTAGATTGAAAAGAGGAAAGAAAAGATTAGGGATCTAGCAATTGATTATTTGTATAGGTGGTAGTTGAAGGCCCGAGAGTGGGTGAGGTTAAAGACATAATTGATCTATATACAGTAACTCCTCACTTAAAGTCCTCCCGGTTAACGTTGTTACATTGCTGATCAATTAGAGAATATACTTGTTTAAAGTTGCGAAATGCTCCCTTAACGTGGTTTGGCAGCCGCCTGCTTTGTCCATTGCTTGCAGGAAGAGCAGCCTATTGGAACTAGCTGGTGGGGGCTTGGAACCAGGGTGAACTGGCAGCCTCCCTATCAGCTCCACTTTCCCCTAAGTTCCCTGTGCAGCAGCCGCCCAGCAGGCTACCAATTGCCAGCAGTTCAGCTATCCCTCCCCACACTGTCGTGCTGCTCCTGTCCTCTGCCTTGGAGCTGCTCCCTGGACCCTCCTGCTTGCTGTGCGGGGTGGGGGAAAGAGGGGGGCTAATCAGGGTGTCCCCCTCCCCCCTGCTCCTTCACCCGGCTTACCCCATTTCCATAGAACGGTGTGGGGACGGGGCACCACAGGGCTCAGGACGGAGGGAGCTTCCTGGCAGCAGCATCTGTCTCAACTTGCTGATCTACTTAAAAAGGCAGTGTACTTAAAGTGGGGTCAGCGTACTTAAAGGGGCCTTGTGCATCTCTTTCTCTCTCTCTCTCTCACATAGGGTGTGTGTCTCTGTCTGCTCTGCTGCCTTGCCTCCCTCCATTCCTGTTGCCTTGTAGAGCGTGAGGCTACATTAACAACAATGGGTTAGCCCTTGAGGGCTCAGCTGATTGCTAGTTCATCATTTAGCAGTAAGGGCTTCCCTGGGAAATATCCCATCCTCTGACTTTACCACGTCAACCAAGCTTCAGAATCATCATCACTGTGTACCAGTCTTAAATTGTTTGTTTAAAACTTATACTGTGTGTGTGTGTGTGTTTATATATAAAAAATATAGTCTTTTGTCTGGTGAAAAAAATTTCCCTGGAACCTAACCCCCCCCATTTACATTAATTCTTATGGGGAAATTGGATTTGCTTAACATCGTTTCACTTAAAGTTGCATTTTTCAGGAACATAACTACAACATTAAGTGAGAAGTTAGTGTACCTCTCGTTGAAGTTTTTTTACCCTGCTTGGAAGCCTGCCTCTGCTGTTTAGGATTCTGCCATTCTTCCAAGGACCACTCCAGTCCGGAAAAATCACCCCCCTGAGTGCAGCAAGTCAGAGTGCTTTTAAGCACTAGTGTAAACAGTGCGGCTCTCAGCACTTGGAGCTAATTCCCTCGTGGAGGTGGATTGCCAGGAGCGCTGGGAGAGCTCTTTCCCAGCAGTTGTGCGTGACCATGCTCGCACTTCAAAGCACTGCCGCGACAGCGCTCCCATGACAGCGCTTTGACGTTTGCAATGTAGCCATGCCTTTATTCTGGAATAAGT